GAGGAAGGATTTACTCAGTCTAATTTTCCCACCTTTTATCATTCTCCCTCACCCTTCTCAAATTCCCTAGTCCATCTCTCCTTCCCCAATCTCAGCATTTCTTGCCTCTTAGCTCAAGCCGTCAGCTATTTCTCTCCTGCCTTTTTCTCCCTGCCCCCATCACAGACTCTCTGGACCTTCCAGTCTCCCTCCTCTAGCTCAAACTCACGCCTGGCCCAGCTGATGCAGGAAGCTGGGGGAAAGCAGATGCTTCAGGGTGGACATGAGGATACTTCCACGCTGAGACAGGTGGCTCAGGCATAACTGGGGTTCCTGGGTGAAGGTGGCCATGGCCAGGCTCAGCAGGGCTGCCATGCCTGGAAACATCGAGAATAAAGACCCAGTGGAGGAGGCAAGAGGCCCAGATGCTCCCGCTTCCCCTTGGCTCTGAGGGTTACCACCTACTCAGTTTCGTTCCCATCCCTGATCAGTTCCAGCGTACAATCTGCCATCCTCTCCCCAAGCAGCAATCTCCATGGGCTAACCCAGTTCAAGCAGCTTCTCTTAAAGAAGGGTAAAACGCTGGCCCCACACAAGAGGGCATGCTAATGGAAAGATACCTTGAGGTGAGATGAGTGTCCAGTCTGGCTCTGGGCTTTGTGGACTGGACAGCAGCAGCTCCTCTTCCTGGGTAGGTACTTCCTCAGGGAGCCTCAGAGCCATGGAGAAGCGGTGCCACAGAGCGGTCCACATTTCTGAGCTAGCCAAGTCCCTTATCAGGCTACCCTTAACCTGCTGGGAAAAAAAATTGAAAGAGGGTGGGTGGGGAGATCAAAATCAGGAATCAAAAGGCCTTTTTTTTTCACTCCTGTCCCTGACCTATGAGGAAAGGGAATCCCAGAAATAATTCCTTCTGTTTTTCCCACCTAGGATTTCTCTGTTGTTTTAATTCCCTGATTACATCTTAACCCCCAACCTCTCAACCCGTATATCTACTGAAAACCAGGGAATTACAGCTTTCCTTCCCACTGAATCCCAAGGGATATAGCTGAACGGTTCCCTTTAAAGGGTCCAAGGGCAGGTGGGCCCCTTCCAAAGCCATTACAGGCACAGTAGTTTATAGGTTGCTTCTGTGTTCCTAAAGTCCAGTGGCACCCCGAAATGCCCAGTTTCTCTCCTTACTTCCTATCCGTCCTAAGATGAAGCTCTACCTGCGTGAGCAGCTGCAGCAGTAGGACAAGGAGGCCGTCGTAGAATCCACAGCCACCTGGTGGAGTCAGCCGGACCTGCCAAGCAGAGGTAGGAAGAATGCAGATCCCTGAGAGGAATGAGGGGGCCTCACAGGCCTGTGTCCCCAACTCCTGGTCAGGCAGAAAGAGGTCTTCCTTGGCCTGGTGTAGAGAGGAGAATGCTGGACTTAAGAGTCTTGGTTCCTGCCTATTTGGTCAATGACTAACTCTGTCCTAAAGACACACAGTCTGGTAGGGTAAGCTGACCAGAAACAGTTATAGTTTAGAAAGATACTTTCTGAACCAGAGGCTGGGGTGGGGGTGGGGGGTTGCAGTTGAGAGTATCTAACTCCACCTCCTGGAGGTAAGAAACTGATGGGATTAAAAGTTATAAAGGCAGACTAGAGAAGGTAGAGGTGGAAAGGAAGAACATCCCAAGTAGGAGACATAGTATATACAAAGGCAGGTCATGAAAGACCATAATGAATTTTGGAAATGGCAACTCTTTCGGTATAGGATTACAAAGCCCAGAGGCAACAGATGAGCTCTGAGTAGCCTGCTGAAGAATTTGGACTTTATCCCAGAAGCAATGGGAAACCACTGAGGACTTACAGAGCCTAGAACAGTGTTTGGTACTCAATACATATTTATGCGTTAAGTAATTCTTGTTTGAACAAATGTCCAAATTTCCTTTAAGACACTCTGGTGGCAGTGAAGAAAACAGACTGAAAAAGAGAGAGCCTAAAGAGATATCCATTAGCAAAGGTACTGCCAAAGAGAGAGATGATGCCTCCCTCCCTCTTTAGAAGTCCAGCATGTTAACAACAGAACGGAAGCCCTGACCAGTCTGGGCTCAGAGCAGTCAATTATCTGGGGGCAGAAGGGTAGAAAAGACTCCTTGATTCCTTTACCACACCGTGGTTTTCTCTAGGCTGCCTGGCATTTCAGTATTTCCTCCAAGAATGCAGTCCTTGTTTGACTCACAGAAAACATGTCTATGCATTCCCTGTCAGACCTCACCTCCGCAGGGGCAGACAGGGCATGTGTGGCTGCAGCAATCCACTCCACAGGCTGGAGGTCAAAGGTCACCCCTTGCTGACCAAGCTGTCCCAGCAGACAGGCTGCTGCACTCTGGAGAGTTAGAGGAGGAGAAGGAATGACCGAATCTGAATGATATTCAGCACAGGCAGAGACAATTTAAGTCTGTCTTGGACCAGAAGAACGTCTCATAAACAGCTACGAAGGGGATAATGACTCCTCTGCTCCCAGAAGGGTTGGATGATAGGGTGAAAAGGGAGGAACGTGAAGGTTGAAAACTTACCACAAGAGAGACGACGTGTGAACGGGTAAAGACAGTAGCAATCTCATTGCCTAGCTTCTCCATTCTGGAACAAGGAGAAACGTCAAGGGGTACAGCAGTGTAAAAGGAGGCTGGTGAGTGGCCTCCCCTCCCCTCGCATAGCCCTCTCCACCTAAGCTGTATGTCTGACTCCAAGTCACAGAGTTGGTGAGAATTCAGTTCTGTTCTTTGTTGAAAAGCTTTTACTCTTCCTATCCCAATTCCTCCCAAGGATAGGCTGCAGGGTACCACTCCCCATGTTCTATGCAGGGTGAGCTATGTGGGTAGAAGACTTCAATGGCGAGCGAGAGCCTACTTTATGACTCACCCGGAAGGCAGATCTTGGAGCTGAAGGACAAGAAGGGAGAGGAGGTAGAGCGTCACTTCAGTAGACTCTTCCGAATCCACTACTTTTACCTACAAAGGAAACCTAAGATATCAGAGCAACCTCTGATTGAGACAGTGGAGACACCATGAGATGTCCACCTGTGTTGCTGGCCTACCTTGCCCTGGACCAACATCAACAGCGACTCCAAGGCCTGGGGCTCTCGCCCTAGAAGACGGCACAGGCGCTCACTGACATGGCAGCAGGAGTACAGAACCTGAGGGAGTGGGAAGGAGTCTGTCAGTGAGCAGAGCAGCACCTGGGCTCTGAGACTGGAAGGCTCAGCTGAAAGCAAGCGAGCCTCTCAACAGATCTGGTATCCATGTTTGGGGGTGTTAGAGAAGTTTGGGTTGCTTCCACCTCTTGCTGTAAGATAGAGATACTTCTCAGTTCTGGTGAGGATTGGCTCATAGTAAGGCCATCTCAGGTTGAACAGATTTAAAGGTAGAAAGGGGTCGTGAAATGAGGTTTCTCATCTCTCTCAGTGTCTCTCTCTCTCTCTCAGTCCTGGGGGTTAAAAGGAAATCTGAAGAGTTATGGGCAGGCAGTACCTTGAGAAGATGTAGGCACAGGGTGGGATGCTGCAGGCCAGAGATGAGGGATGGCCTCAGCTGGTTGTTGTCTTCGGTGAGCTGATTTGCCAAATGCCGAGAGATCTATAAAGATATATCTGAAGACTCAATTCCATTTCCATTATTCCAATCCTACCCTCTTATATCCCCAACTACTCAAGATTCTCAAACCCTTACTAAGCACTTTGCCAGGTTCACTAGGAACCTCAGACTCTAACCCATTCCCAGTCTTCAAGGCCAATGGAGAACCAAAAGTCATGGCCTTATTTAGCCCAGGTATGCAGGTACAGAGAGAAGTGTTGCTAGCCAAAAGGGAGAAGGAAGTCTGAATCCTGAGCCCTTAAAAAAGCATCACTGGTGGCTTCAGTGTGGCTACCCTAGCACATGGGAAGTTTGTCACTAAGCTCTCTAACCAAAGCCTCTGGGATTTTGGCTATATCATGTTGTACAAATGGCCCAGATCCAGGTTGGGGCCATCTGTTTCTGGAAGAACTGAGTAACGGCAGGCATATGAGCTTATTTTTCTGCCTTCTTGAGAAGCTGGGGCCAGCTTCCCCAGCTCTGGCAAAAGGGATGAGAAGAATAAGAAACTGCAGCTCAGACCTGCTCCTTGGCTTCCCAGCAGCCAGGCAGCCCCACAGGAGCAAAACACATGGCTGCCAGTGCAGAGGAAATGGCTCCAGGCAGATCCTCACTCTGCTCCCGCAGCGACTGGATCACTTGAGGGGCTCCTATGGAGAAAGCAAAGGGTGGGGTCTAGTTGTTTCTCCCAGATCCACCTTCTATCTTTCAGTTCACAGTTATTTATTGGGCACTTACTAAAAGCACAGAGCTGGACTCACTCAACAATTAAGTCCAGAGAACGCCCCCTCCCCACTCTGGTTACCTGGAGGTGTGTGGAAAGGGAGCTGTGGAACTGTCAAGCCATGAAGGAGCCCGTCCAACACAGCCCGCTGTGTAGTCAACAGACTTGAGTAAAAGGCTTTGGAGATGGTCCAGCTATTTCCATCCATGGCTTCACACAGAACGGTAAAGCACTACAGGAGACAAGGGCAGGGTTAACATTGGGGCATCAGAAAACAGACTGGGCTTAGAGTAAGGAGCAAGAATCCCTGGAGAACCTGAGAAAAGAGGAGAAAAACCCAAGGACTAGCTGTCTAATTCTAAGTATTCCTCATACAGACGGTGCATCATAACTACCTTCGTGTTTCAAGAACAGGAATTTAAGTGTCAGTCCTTCTTTTCTCTGATCAGCTGCTCCCTAAATGATGTTTCTCAAAGTGTCATCTATGACCACAAGTGTAAGAATTGCTGGGGATTCCTGGGTCCTTCTTAACCTAGTCCTCTGATTCGGAATTTCAGGAGGTGGGGTATTTATTCCAAACTCCCCATGCTACTCACTGCACAATGACATATGAGAAGTGCTGGCCAATAATGTGAATCTCTGCTGGCCAAAATTTAGGTTAGATATTAAAAGCTTCCTGACTTGAAAGGGTGAGGGATGCTAAAATAGGCTCTCAGACTAGAAACTGAAAGGACTGCTAGCTAGAGACAAGAATGTAGCCTAGATCTGTGTTATCAAGTGCCAGTTTGAACAATGACCAAGCAATTGTTTACTTCTTTTTTTTTTAATGTCTACAGCACCTGGTATTCCTAGGTGGTCTCCCATCCAAGTACTTACTAACCAGGCCTGACCCTGCTTAGCTTCCGAGATCAGATGAGATTGGGAACGTTCAGGGTGGCATGGCCGTAGACCAATTGTTTACTTCTTTGCACATGTTCCTCTCTATCTCCTGAGATTTTCTGGTTCAATCCTCCATTCCTGGTCCTCACTACCAGAGTCCAGGCAAGAGAACCCATACAGTTTACTAGTCCATAGGTCAAACAAGGTTAGGAAATACTAGCTGATCTGCAAGTCTCTTCAAGAAGAAGTAACTTCTATTTGTGGCTTCAGGAAACAGGCCACACTGCTTAATGCCTCTGGGCCTTTATTAGGTTGCTTTTTCCACCTGGAATGTCCTTTCTATCTTCCTGCCTCATCCACCTGGCAAATTTCTATGTATTCTCCAAATCCTAGCAGAGATAATTTCCTTATTCAGGATTTCTTTTATGACCCTCCAAATAGTGTTAATCTTCTTCAGCTGTGCTTCTGTATTTTACACAAAATTCTAATGTACTTTTCACACGACTGTCCTTGATCACTTTACATCTCCCCTACTTGACTGTCTCCGATCCCTTGAAGATAGGAACTTTCTCTTACTCAAATTGCATATGGCACATAGCTGGCATTCAACAAATGTTTGATATATCACCTTGATCTAACCCTATCTAGCCATAAGAAAGGGGAGGGGAGAAACACAGGGAAAGACAAGGGAGATAAAAATCTGGAAATGGGAGCCGATTACCATGAGGCTGTCCCTCCTCAAAGTCTGCTCTGAGTCATCTGGTTGGGCCAGGAACTTCCCCAGCAGGTCCAAAAAGAGGTTGGCGGCTTCCTGAAATACCTGTAGGCTAAGGGAAAATGGTTTCTTCTCATCTCTCTACTAAAAGTCGAGATGTGGTGCATGGGTCAGTCATGGGCAGGTAGGAGAAGCTCTGCAAGGGAACACATCAGAATGCTCCCTCCTCTCTCCCCGGCTAAGCACGCACACAGTCTCACATACACACCCTCCAAGCCATTTCTCTAGGTTATTCACATCTTGATCCTTTCATTTAGTGTGTGGTGACTGCTGACACTTAGAACCTGAAAGATTTGGGGCAAAAGTGGAGGTGTCTCAGGGTCCTTAAGAGGACTAGCTGGACTCGAAGGGGTGAGTCAGCTGATCCCTAAACCTGTCACAAATCATGGCTTCTCCTCATTTAGCCTCTTTCTAACACAGAAGGGAAGAAATGGGAATAGAAATTGAAGCCAAACTGGCCAACAGGGGAAAACTGCCTGTCATCTCACCTGTCACCTGTCTGGTTCCTCTCCAGATTGAAGGTGCAGGCAAAGTAGGCCTGAATCACAGCCATCAGGTTCCGTAAGAAGGTCCCATACCAACATTGCTGCCAAGGAACAGGACAAAGAGTAAGAGCAACGTAGGGGATGGCAACAACGTAGGGGATGGAGACAAAGAATAGAAAAAGCAGTAAAAAAGGCATCAGATATCCAGACAGAATGAGAGTATTTGGACAGAGAGAAGAGATCCAGGAGTAACAAGTGGCAACCAAGGGGCTACAAATAGCCTGAAAATGTGTCTTGTTTGGCCTGAACAGCACTGTGGAGTTTAGACAGTTCTGTTTTTCAAAATAGCTCAAATTTTTTCCTAAAAACTTTAAAACACTCAATTAATACTCATCAGAGTACAGCTTTCTCATGCCTGAGCCTAGATTCTCTTTTTCTGTCCTCTTAGCTCAGCTGCAGCAGGACACAGCAGGGGAAGTAGAGGTTTGTCCCCACACACATCGAGTCTCAATCCTAGCTCTCTCACTATCGTCTCCGTGGCCATTTATTTACAAAGTAGTGCTTGTGTATGAGTCAGTTAATCTCTGAATTTCAGTACCCTGCTCTGTAAAATTGGGTCAATAAAGCCATGGATTTAATATATTTCGAAGCACAGTGCTCTAACTATTGGGAGATTACATATAAAAATCTGGATTTCTAGCTTCTCTTGGAAAACTAGAAGATCTGGCAACACTGGACCTATATTCCCACTCAGTAACAGTGGGCTGGAGCCGAGGAGAGGATGTCCAATTTAGACAGGGCATGAGATCTCCAGTTTATCATATTCCCCACTACTCTCAAAGTTCTACATAGTCTACTTCACTGACTTCATCTCCCTGGCATAGAAGGTATTAGAGTTTGTAATTCATGGTCTAATAACTAGAAAGAGGAGGAAAGAAAATAAAAGGCAATCGGGCTAAATAGAGATGGCAGTTCGAAGAAGAGAAATCCAAAGAGAAACAACTCCTGGAAGTCTTTAGAGGCTCCTTGCATAGTGCTTACCTGCTGAATACTGTTGCTCTCCTGGCTGTGTCTGAGTAGGCTGAGCAGCAGCCCAGGGAGTCCTGCCTCACGGCAGAAGGAGTACAAGGGAACAGAGTCACTGCAGCTGGACAGAAGACTGCTCAGGACCCGGAGTGCAGGAAGGATATGAGAAGCACCCTCCAGCATGCCTTTCAGGATCTGAGT